CATTGTTATGCAGTGTGTGACTGTACAATGCATTGTATTCTTGAAACTTGTGAAGAGAGCATATTGGATATGTTCATGACAGAAAAAAATAAAACAAGTAATATATGTTAATTAACTCAATTTAGTCTTTTCACAATGTAAGCATATTTCAAAATAACATATTAGGCAAGATAAATATATATAATTTTCATTTGTCAATTAAAAAATGAACACAAAAATGTTTAGTCCACAAGTCTGGTCTCTGAATATTAGCATAAAAAGTATAATTGTGAGCCAATCAGGAAGAAATTAATTTATGGATGAAGGTATCACAATATCAACTAGTAACATTTCTTTTTTGTTTTTGAGATGGAATTTCACTCTTATCGTCCAGGCAATGACATGTAATATATGACCTCGGCCACTGCAACCTCTTTCCCAGTTCAAGACATTCTCCTGGCTCAGCCTCCCAGGTAGCTGGAATTACAGTCATGCACCACCACACCCAGCTAATTTTTGTATTTTTAGTAGAGATGGGGGTTCACTATGTTGGCCGGGCTGGCCTCGAACCCCTGGCCTTTGGTGATCCGCCTGCCTTGGCTTCCCAAAGTGCTGGGATTACAGGCGTGAGCCACCATGCCCAGCCATCATCTAGTAACATTTCTAATAAAGTGTTTTAATAGACAGGAGGTACTCTGTGTTCCAGAAGTGTGGGTGGTAATCCCTGAACCTACTTAAGTTCCCTGTTGCAGATGTAATCTTACTGACTAATCAATGAGTTATCTGTTGAAACTTTTTCTTACAAGTAACATAGTCAAAAATAAAAAATACGTATTTTGTAACTAAAAATAGTTAAACAATGGAATAAAATCAATCAGTATTTCTATTTATAACTGTCTGCCTTGAACCAAGGATCTTATGTTAGTCTTAACTGCATGCAATTGTCCATTTCTGTTCTGAAAGGGCCCTTGAAATCCTGATTCAGTTTCCTGCTATGAACTGATACTTCCTGGTACATTTCTGATTAATGTGTCTTGAAATTTGCCCCAGGACTCCATTCCTATTCTGTAACTTATAGCAGAGGTCTTTAAGCAAAAGTAAGATAAAAAGGAAAAACTAGCCGTGGATAAGACCAAATGCCTTGTTTTATTAAACCCTGTTGAGGGTTGTCCCATAATAATTTGTAAGAACTTAGTCCAGGCCAGGCACGGTGGCTCATGCCTGTAGTCCCAGCACTTTGGGAGGCCAAGGTGGGCAGATCGCAAGGTCAGGAGTTCAAGACCAGCCTGGCCAACATGGTGAAACCCTGTCTCTACTAAAGATACAACAAAATTAGCCAGTCATGATGTCGGACACCTATAATCCCAGCTACTCGGGAGGCTGAGGCAGGAGAATCACTTGAACCCGGGAGGTGGAGGTTACAGTGAGCCAAGATCACGTGACTGCACTCCAGCCTGGGCGACAGAGCAAGACTCTGTCTCAAAAAAAAAAAAAAAAAAAAGAAGAACTTAGTTCATAATTACCCAGGAGTTATGGTATGATCTTATTTTAGATACTGAAAGCATTGCCAATCTCCACTATTAAAAGTTCTTTAATTTATACCATAGTGGTAATTATATCCTCCAATTGGCAGCCTATTGAAACCTAGAGATAAAATCTTTTTGCAGTATAAGTTATTTTAATAAAATTTGGGACCTTCTAATTTTGGCCTTCTTTACTTTTATTTTTATATGCATTATACCATGTTTTATATATATATATATATATATATATATATATATAATATATGCATAAAATAGAAGACTAAGCAGCCTTTAGAATGAAGGAAACCATGTCACATGGATAAACCTCAAGAACATTATGTTAAGTGAAATAAGCCAGTCATACAAAGACAATTTTTTTCATATGAAGTATAAAGTAGTCAAAATCACAGTAGCGGTTGCTGAGGTCTGGGAGTGGAGGTGGGAGTGGTGGTGATGGGATTAGTGTTTAATATGCACAGAATTTTGGTTTTGGAAGATGAAAAATTTCTAAAGATGTAAATTTCTAAAGATTAAGAAGAATATACTTAACATGTTAAATATATTCACAGTGATGTAAATGTAGTTAACATGACTGCACTGTACACTTCGAAATGCTTTAAATGATTTTTTCAAAAGCAGCAGCATAGGAATAAATCTTCACCACCTAGCATGAGTTCATGAATTCTTAAACATGACACCAAAAGCACAAGTAACAAAAGAACACATAGATAAATTGGACTTCATCCAAAGTAAAAAACTTCTGTGCTTCAAAGGGTACTATTCAGAAAGTAAATGACGGCTGGGTGCAGTGGCTCAGGTCTGTAATCCCAGCACTTTGGGAGGCCGAGGTGGGGGAGGATTTTTTGAGCTCAGGAGTTCAAGACCGTCCTGGGCAACAGAGTGAGACCCTGCCTCTATACGGAAAAAAAAAAAGATAGTTAAGTACAACCCGTGGAATGGGAGACTACTACTGCAAATTATATCCTGCAAATGATTTGTTTCTTGTTTTTGGGACAGCGTCTCGCTTTGTCACCCAGGCTGGAGTGTAGTGGCACGATCTCAGCTTACTTCAACCTCCACCTTCACCTTCTAGGTTCAAGCAGTTCTCTTACTTCAGCCTCCCAAGTAGCTGGGATTACAGGCACACAGCACCATGCCCAGCTAATTTTTGTATTTTTGTAGAGGCGGGGTTTCACCACATTGGCCGGGCTGGTCTTGAACTCCTGACCTCAGGTGATCCACTCACCTTGGCCTCCCAAAGTGCTGGGATTACAGGGGTCAGCCACCTTGCCCAGCCCCCCTCCTTAAAGGATTTTTATTGGGAATACATAAAGCGTTCTTATAACTCAGTGACAAAACACACACCAGTTAAAAATGAGTAAATGTTGAGTGCACATTGCTTCAAAGAAGGCATACAAATGACCAATAAGTACGTGAAAGAGGTTCAACACCAAGGAAGCGCAAATGAAAACTACAAGAAGCGACTTTAGAATCACTGGGATGAATTTATCAAAAAGAGATGATAAACAGCTGGATTATGGAGAAAAACTGAGACCCTCACACAGCTAGCGGGTATATAAAATGGTATTTATTTACTCTGGAAATAGTCTGATACCTTCTGAAATTGTTAAACATAGAGTTTCCATATGGCCCTTCAGTTTCACTCTTAGATATATAGCTATGAGAAATGAAAACATACATCCCCACAAAACATTGTACACAAATATCTTAGAAGTATTATTCACATAGCCAAAAAGTGAAAACAATCCAAATGTTCATCACCTGATGTATAAATAAGTTTCAGGATATCCACCAATGGAATATTATTCACAACAAAAAGATTTGATGTGATGATAGATGCTAAAATCATGGATGAAACGTGGAAATATTCGAAGTAAAAGTAGGCAGGTTGTGAAAGACATATACTGTATGATTCCATTCATATGAAAGTCCAGAGTATGTAAAGCTATGTAGAAAGTAAATTCGTAGTTATGTAGGCCTAGGGTGCAGATGGGGGGCCAGGGGGTGATAGCTAAATGACAAGGTTTTTTTTTTTTTTTCCACTCTGTCACCCTGTCTGGAGTGCAGTGACACAATCTCAGCTCACTGCAACCTCTGCCTCTGGGGTTCAAGCAATTCTCCTGCCTCAGCCTCTCGTGTAGCTGGGATCACGTGTGAACCCAGCTAGTTTTTGTATTTTTAGTAGAGAAGGGGTTTTGCCGTGTTGGCCGGGCTGGTCTTGAACTCCTGACCTCAAGTGATCCTCCCACCTTGGCCTCCCAAAGTGTTGGGATTACAGGCATGGGCCACCATGCCCAACCTAAGGGCTTCTTTTTATCTTTCTTTCTTTTTTTTTTGAAACCAAGTTTCGCTCTTGTTGCCCAAGCTGGAGTGCAGTGGTGTCATCTTGGCTCACTGAAACCTTTGCCTCCCGGATTCAAGCGATTCTCCTGCTTCAGGCTCCTGAGTAGCTGGGATTACAGGCACCTGCCACCATGCCTGGCTAATTTTTTGTATTTTTAGTAGAGACAGGGTTTCACCACGTTGGCCATGATGGTCTCGAACTCCTGACCTCAGGTGATTCCCCTGCCTTGGCCTCCCAAAGTGCTGGGATTATAGGAGTGAACCACCATGCCCAACCAGAGGTTTCTTTTTGAGACAATAAAAATGTTCTAAAGTTTATCGAGGTGAGGCTTGCAAATTCTGTAAGTAGACAATGCAGTGACAGCTGCAAATTCTATAAATGTATTTAATGTGGTAATGGTTACAAATTCTATGTAAAACACACATTGTACAATTTCAGTGAGTGAAAGCATGCGATGTGAATGTCTTAATAAAGCTTTTATTTTAAAAATGAGCAAATGGTAGAATGTTAACATGGCCCACATCTACATGGTGGCTAAATTGGTTTCTATCATATTTTTTCTATGTGGTTTCTATTTTTTTTTTTTCTATGTGAACTGGGTACATGAGCAGGGAGGCCAAGCCCACCGAGAGCCTCAGCACACCCGCAGCACCTGGTGTGAGCGAGGTGAATGGCTTCCCTGTGTGTGGAAGCAACGACGTCATGGGTGTTTACAGATCAATATAAAATTTGCATCGTTAAAAAAAAAAGCAGTGGACGTGAATGCAGGAGGTCTTATGAATGGAGCACCTGTGGCACTGCATGTTGGCTCACACAGAAGCTCCCAGTCCTGGGCAATGCAGGGAAAAGCATGAGATGGGGTAGGAGTTGACATGGCCCAGCTGGCTCAGATGACACATGATGGTCCCAGTGGCCTGACTTGGTTTGTGTGATGTGTGCTTTGGGGTTTTATTTTGGCACATTATGAAGGAGTGAAGCCTGTTTACAGTCAGTTTCTGTCTATGCTAATGAAAGGCAAGGGGATGAAGCAACTGACTTTGACTAACCATCCACTGACATTGATTAGGCATCTTATGATCCTGTCTTCACCTTTGAGATTTCTATGTTGTTTGTGTTTAATGTCAGAGAATATCTTTTTTTTTGACCATCGTATAGTGAGTTTATTTGTTCTCTAAAATAACATGAACATGCACCTTTCCACTGCGTGACTTCATGGGTCATGGCCAACATAGAACTTGGATAAGAAATCCTTTGGCCTTGGCTCTTCTGTTTCATGGAAGAACCGCATGATGTGTGTCCGCTGCTTCCATACGTTAATCGTTTCTTCCAGTTCCATCTTTCCCTTAATGACTGAAGATCAGCCACTCTGGGGTCTGTGACGTGGGCATTCTTCATAAACATTTCTCTGACTTTATCTCGTCCCTGTTTCACAGTGATGTCCAGCTGGAATTGGTGCACAGTGTGCGGCACCTCCCGATACCAGGCGCCGTAGAGCTCGTGCACTATTCGCTTGGCCTCATTCATGTCCCGACTGAAAATGGGCTTCACAGAGGTGCTGGCAGCAGACGCAGCTCGGCGGACTACGATCCCCGCCATCTTGCCCGAGAGTATCTTTTAATAGCTCATACAGTTTATGCAAATACTGCATACCTGATAAACATCCCTACAACATGATCTTTGGAATGAACTAAGACAAAGGAGATTCTGAGGAAGGACCATGGCATGAGAGGTGGAATTCATCCCTCGAAGACTGAGATGAGAATGGAAAATGAACCACGGGTAAATACAGCCTTAGTCCACATACATTTGCCTAAAATGAGCTCACAGGGCACAGGTGTGGAGACCACACATGCTCAATGACATCATAACTCAGAATCAGTAACCCAGCGTACCAGCTCCCTCACAGGGATGTGCTAGGGTGGGGGCAACTGTTGAGTGTCAGCGTCCAGTGATGGCTAGGGACTCAGTGACAGCAACTCTGGCAGCCCTGGCTGGATATCAGATGATTGTCCAGGAGGGGGCAGCCTGGCCCAGATCCCCCAAAGCAGGCGATTCTCACTAACACTGCCCAGGGCACCTAGACCTGAAAGACATCATGGGACACTGAAGTTAGAATCAAAGTGCAGCTAGAAAAGGGCAGCCACCTGGAGCAAGTCCATCCTGGCAGCTGTCATAAAGCACAGCATGTTCACTACCGGGGGGGCCGGCCTTGCTCACGTTGTCAGATGGAGGTTCCCAGAATACCATGGCTTCTTCAGGGATCTGTTGTCCAGTGGTGAACGGAGAGGGCTCTGGAGGCAAACCTGCCAGGGGAGCCCCAGCTGCACTGGCTCCCAGAGAGTGACCTGGGTGCATGAGCAGGGAGGCCAAGCCCACTGAGAGCCTCAGCATTCCCCCAGCACCTGCTGTGGGCAAGCTGCCTGGCTTCCCTGAGCATGGATGTGATGATGTCACGGGTGTTTGCAGATTCCCTTTCACTGTGTCCCACAGCACTCCTGGTTCACGTGTGATACGCTGCACTTGGGGTGGAGGTGTGCTGACCGTCGTAAAGGGCTGAGCCTTTCTTCATTCTTTCCCATGGCTCTGATGCAGTTTCCAGATACCAGTTAGGAAGGAAGTTCCTGAGATGATGGACCTTGTGCCAGTCACATAGGGCTGCTAGGATAAAGTGTTATAGACTTGGGGGATGGACCAGGCATGTATTAAGAAAAGAAATGTATTTGTCACAGTCTGGGGTCTGGAAGTCCAAGGTTAGGGTCCCAGTGTGGTGAGGGTCTGGTGAGGGCTCTCTTCCTGGCTTGCAGACTGCCGCCTTCTCACTGTGTCCTCCTGTTGGGGAGAGAGAGCTCTGGGGTCTCTGCTTCTTACCAGGGCCCTAATCCCAACATTAGGGCCCCACTCTCATGGTCTCCTCTAAGCCTGAAGAACTCCCAAAGGCCCCATCTTCAAATACCATCACCTATCCTGGATTGGGGCTTCAACATAGGAATTGGGCAGGTGGGGGGAAATGAACATTCAGTCTATCAGGGTACGCAAGTCAGCCCCACTGTCCACGTTTAGGGGCAGATTGTAGGGCTCAGGCGGGACACAGAGGTGGAGGAAGCACAAGTTCTTCCTCCTGGGAATGGTTCAGCCAAAACAAGGACAGGGACATGGGGCAGACAACAGCCAGTGGGATGACCAGCAGGAGTCCCGAGGTGTCACTAAGCCGAAGTGTCACTTTCATCCTTAGGTGAGGAAGTTGGCGGAGCACCCATACACGCCAGAGTACAGACCACGTTCCCTTCAAACACGGCTCACTTACCATTCCTCAACCCTGCAAAGGGGAGGTGCTACCTCGTCTCCTGAGGATGGCCCTGAAGGTAGAGGAGTCACGGGAGCTGCGCACATCACCCACCAGTGACTCCTCACTCCACATTTTCCCTGATGGGCTGATGTGCACTGAGCTGGGGAAGCCCTGCCAGGATAAACTCTTCTTCCCAAAGGCCACAGAGGGCAGGCCTCCGACACTGCCCACGTGGAGCAGAAGGGTTGGGGCAGAGCAGCATCTGTCCAGCTGACTGGTGTGTTCTGTGGGCGGATGGGGCCGGAGAGGACCCAAACATGGCTCCCTCTGTCACTCGGCAGAGGGGCCAGACCGCCTTGTAACGGACAGCTGTGCCCGACCAGCCTTTGCTGCTGGGCCAGCCCCCAGCACCATGACCACAGCTCTGCATACAGGGAGTGCTGGGACCAGTGCTCTGGCAGTCACCGTGGTCCTGAGCCAACAAGGGCCCTGGGGAGGAATCGGAACTCAGACAGTGAGGAAGGTGTTGGCCAGGAGGGAACCGGGGCGGGTGCCGGGTCCTGTCTATGCTGGGATCTGAGATTCTGAGAGGTGGGTTAGGGGTAAGGGGGTAGAGGTGGGCCACATGGGGTGAGGGGAGTTCAGCAGAGATGGGGAGGACAGGACAGTGTGGGAAAGAGCAGAGGGTCCTCCCCAGCCTCAGTCTGTCTCCTGGTGCAGTCCTCATCTCACTCTTAGACCCCGGAAGTCTCCCTTCAGCCAACACCAGGCCCCCGACTCCCAGGGCACTTCCCAGACAGCCAGTGCCGCATCCAGGCAGCCCCTGCTCTGCCCTTGAGGTCTGTGCCTGGCAGAAGGGCGGCTCACCCTCGACACCTCTTGGCCTGGGTCCCAGCTCTCCCTGGCCCTGGGACCAGCAGACACACCCACCCTGCGCCTGGCAGGCCGGCCATGCTTGTGCCCGTTGGTGATGGTGGGTTGGGAGGGAACTTTTTCAGATACCAGTGTAAATCTGTGTCTGCATCAATTCCACACGAGTTCGGTCATCATATGGGAAGGGAATCATAGCTGTGAGGGGCTCCATGCAGGACCCCGAGGGCCCCTGAGGCCAGTCCCTGTGGCCACAGCTAGGAGCATCTGCTTCTGCCAGTTGGACAAGACTCTGTCCTGCCCAGAAACCAGCAGAGGGACTTCCCCTGCTCCCCACCCACCATTGTATCCCAAGCACACCCGAGCTCTTCCTGATGAGGGTTAAGCAGGAGCGGCCGCCTCTCCCCGTGTCCATGTTGCAGGCAGCTGCCTTCTCCTCAGCTCCCACGGCGCAGAACAAGAGCCGGCCAGCCCTCTCCATCCCAGGATTTTCCAGGGATGCTGATAACTAAGCAGGCGGGGGCTTGTGAGTGGATGGTGGGAGGGATCAGGGCTTCCTCAGCATCCGTCAGTCCCTGGAGCATCTGAAGGGGCAGCCTACACCTGGAGGAAAGAGTGGGGCTGGCCCCCGTGGGTCCCCAGTGCCTGGCATCTCCCGGTCCCTCTGCTGTCCCTCACAAACCCCCTCCACTGAGCAGCACAGCCCTGAGGACAGAGGCAGCAGCTCCGAGAGCATTCCCAACACAACTATATTTATTCATATTAACACACGAGACCCCCAAGGCATTGCTCCCCACCTCCTACCCCCTCCCCCTAGGCCCTCCCTTCCCATTCAGCCACCCTCTTCCTCCCCAACTCTCTCCCTCCCCTCCCTTCCCCACTCTCCAAAGCTAATGACCAGCAAGATCAGCACTGGGGGAGAAGTCTTTGCTTTGGGGTCACCCGGTGCTGTGAGGGTCCGAGAGTTAAGAGCCCCACCCTTGAGGATTGGCACCAGAGAGCCTGCCCTGTCTCCCTACTGGCTGCGGTGCTGCTTTTTCTTCCTCTTAGACAGTAAGGGATCACCCTTTCTCTTTTGGGACTGTGAGGGGCCACCCAGCCCCCAAGCCAGGGATTGCGCCCCAGAGACTCTGAGCCCAGGCCCTAGGTGGGGCGTCTGTTCAGCAGGGGATGGGCCTCCAAAGAGAGCTCGCTTCTTGGACTTGGTGGCAGGAGTGGGTGCTGGGCTGAGGCCTCTTCTCTTTGCAAATTGGGACTGAAGAGCTCCCTGGGGTCCCCGCCCTTCTGGGCTGAGAAGGCCCGAGGCAGAGACAGGGCTCTGGGACAGCTTCCAGGGCCGCAGCCTGTAGTTGGTACCCACGACAGTAACCATACCAGGGATTTCCCTCTCCTCCTCACTTGACCCCTTCGACAGCTTGGGTGACCCCTTGATAGGAGAGGCTCCAGGGAGACCCCAGGTGTCCTTGGTCCCCACCCCTGGGCAGGCGGGTCTATGTTCCTGGGGAGGAGAGTATGTCCGGACAGCCCTCAGCCTGCGGGAATCCAGTCTCTCCAAAAGCACCACAGGGTTTTTGGACCTGGCCATGCCAGTGCGTGCTCTGCCTCGTCCCTGAGGGTCCCAGGAAGCCCTCTGTGGGGCGGGTCTCTGGTCCTGGGGAGGAGAGTTTGGCCGGGCAGCCCTCAGCCTACGGGAATCCAGTCTCTCCAAAAGCACCACAGGGTTTTTGGACCTGGCCATGCCAGTGCATGCTCTGCCTCGTCCCTGAGGGTCCTGGGCAGCTGTCTGGGGTGGGCAGGTTTCCATGCTGACCCCTTGCTGGGGGCCAGGGACATCTCTCTCTGCTCCTTGGCCCGCTGCAGACTTAGAAGAGATCGAGTCCAACTGGGCGGTGCCATGACTAGGGGCTGCCCTCGCACACCGTTCCTCCTTCAAGGATAGGCGGCGCTTCTCCGCTACCTGCGGGAGGAAAGGGGGCACTTACTAGCGCTGCTCCAAGTGTGAGCAGGGCCCAGGGTGGTGGAGACCAGGGAACCTGGGCGGCAGGCAGGGAAGCCTGAGGCAGCTGGGCTTCCTGTCAAAGAGAGGGTGTGGCTCTGCCGGGCATCCCGCTGGGCCTCACTGCAGTTTGCATCCTGACTCCCCTCCTGGCTTCTCTCCATCCTGCTCCATCTGAACCTGCACCTCCCCACCTCGGAGTGGCTCCCCAAGAAGCCGAGCATCCCCCACAGGGTGGGGTAGACAATCAGGTGGGGCTTGTGTGCTGGGTCCCTCCTGCCCCCAGGGTACCTCGGTTGCCCTCCCTCCCTGCTCTACCTGGGCGAGGGTGAGTCCTTCCTCCTGCTCCAGCTCCTGGCTTAGGGCCAAGAAATCCATGTGTGGATCTGGAGAAAGCAATTCTTCCAGAAATCGGGGGTGAATGACGGCTTCCACCTGGAAACAGGAGGAAGACGGCGTGAGGTTCCCGGGCAGGGAGTAACCTGGAGCCAAGGACACCTGGAGGAGATGCAGAAAGCAGCGAGTGCCCCGTCCCCACCCTTCTGGAGCTGTCTTATACCATGGCGACCACCAGCTCCACACACAGACCACAGACCTAGTAGCATCCACACATGCAGACAGAGACACACAAACCACACACAGACACACACATAGACCACATACGACACAGGAAAATACACAGACACAAATAACACACACACCACACTCACACCCACATAAACACATAGTAACAAATCATAGACACAAACACACAAACACACAATCACATACACAGACACTCAAATCCACAGAAACACACATCCACCTCCTGCGGAGTAGCTAAGGAACAGAGCTTAATTCCAGGGACCTGTGAGTGCCACGCCCCAGAATCCTGCAGACCTCAGCACTTGAGGCCAGCCCACCTTGGTGACGAAGTCTTTCTGGGAACACAGATTGTCAATGTAGCTCAGGAGGTCGGGGTCTGAAAGCATCCCGTCCTCTTCCTGCTCCACTTCGCCCTCTTCCCTTTGTCCTGTGAGCTGCTCTGTGGCCCCATCGGGAGGCCCCAGCAGCTCTTCCACGATGTCCACATACTCCTGCACCACTTCAGGGGGTATCTCCTCTGGGGCCTTGGTCTCCGCTGGCTGCTGGGGCCTGGGTGGTGGCAGGCAGGCAGGCGGGGCCTTGGGGCCGGCCTTGCTGGGAAGGTACACTGAGGCAGGAAGGGAGGAGGATGGGCGTGGTGAGGACTGCTCCTCCTGCCTGCACCACACAGGGGAGGGCAGGGCTCGGGGACGTGAACTGAGTCCCAGCTGGGTCAGGACCACCTGAACCACAGTGCCCCAGAGGAGACGCCGCAGGAGGGGCACATGTGAGACAGCATCTTTTGGAGGAAGTTTGGAGCCACTGATAAGCTGAGTGCTCTACCCGCTCATCCCTGTTCCTGGGCGGATTGTATGTTGACTTTTGGAATGGAGAGGGGAGAGTAGCTAGGAAATGTGACCAGGTGAATACCCATTTCATGACCACGGGCCGCCCAGCTCCCCAGGTCCCCTGAGCTGTCTTGTTGGAAGGAACAAATCCCTCTCTTGAAGGGAGGCATGGGGTGTGGGGTCAGTGGCCTCCCTTGGCCCCTCTGGGCTTTGCCATGGCTCCTGTGGGAATGTGGGAAGCTGAACCTGGCTGCTTGACCACCTCAGGGGCTGATGGTCCTTGAGGTTCAAGCCTTGGTGGGGCTGGAGGAGGCAGGCACTGGGGCCCCTTCATCCACTGCAACTTCTGAATCTGCATCTCCTCCTCAGCCTCAAACTCCAGGAACCTGGGGTGAAGAAGGTGCAGGCCATGCTGAGAGGGTCCAGGCCCCCTGCCCCCAGGACCAGGCAGTAGCCAATGGCAGGGATGGGAAGGAGTGCCTCGGGCGGGCTGTCCAGGCCCTCCCTAGGGCCCATCCCCCAGTCCCAGGAGGGAGCTCCTCCCAGAGTTCTGGGCTCACTGCCCCTCACCAGGCCCCTGCAGAGCCCATGGCATCAACAGGACTTCCTGACTCAAGTCAGGGCTACGAGGCCCTGGAGGGCACCAGGGGGACCCCTCCTCCAGGCTTCAGCTGGCCAGGGGTGGGGTTTATGGCAGAAGGGGTCAGGGATGTTGCCCAGATGCCGGAGTCCTGAGGTTGGGACTGTGGGTCCCTGAAGGATAACCCAGGAAGATGAGGCCTGGGAGACCCCTGGTTGGGAGGAAGCAAAAGCTGAGCCCAGAAGACAGGCCCCTTTCCCCTGAGGCTGCTGTCTGTCTGTCTTAACAGAGGGGACTGCCCAGGAGCAAAGGCAGGCAGGCCAGAGATGGGTCTCATGGTGTCCTGGACGCAGGTCTCCCCTGACCCAAGGCAGGTTTCTCCAATCCTGGCCAGGCCGGGATGGGTGAAAACCGACTTCTGGTCACTGCTGTGAGGAGAGTGCACCCCGCTCTGTCTATAGTCGCCAGCGCCCCTTCTCCCCATCCTCACAGCTGATGGTGACCACCTTTGGGCTGTGATGCTGGCTGCTCCCTCCATGACCCCCAGCATCAGGCAGGGGTTGTCCCCAGGCCAGGCATGGCGTGGCTTCCCACCAGGGCAGGATAGAGACCCCAGAGCACTCTAGGAGGGAGGAGCAGCTTCCTGAGGGAGCCAGGGGCCCAGGAGGGCCTGTTTGTCCACACCCTCCTCACGCTCCATGCTGAGAAGCCACCATGGCCACCGGGCCTCTGTCACCCTTTCTCGCCCTGCCATGAGAGCTCTGCCCCTGCACCCCAGACTCACTTTCCCGCCATCTCGTAGTAGATCATCCGGTCAAAGTTGCTCGTGTGCTGCCATTCCCGCATGGCCCGCCACAGTCCCTCCTCCAGGGTCATGCTGGGCTTCCGCCGGGCCAAGGATCTGAGAACTGGGCTGTAAGGCAGTACAGTCAGTCCCAGTCCATGAGCCCATCCTCCATCCCAAGCCCACCTGGTCCCAACACCCGGCCCCTGTCCTCCCCACATGTGTCCTGCCATGTGTCCCTGTGCTGTTTTCCCCTACGTGGGCTCCTCAGCCTCCAGGACACGCCCCCAATATCAAACATCATGATACACAAGGCAGCGGGTGGCCTCTCTGACTGCCCCTCAAGTCCTCAGTGTTGACAAGTGAACTCAGTACTTTGGGTGGCACGTGTGTGTCCCCAGCATTCCTGTGCTGAAGTCCTCAGTCCCAGTGTGTCCGTTCTTGGAGTCAATCAGGGTTAGAGCAGGTCATGTGGGTGGGTTCCTGTCATGGCATCTGAACCCTGATAAGGGCAGGAGGAGACACCAGGGCTCTCCCTCTCAGCCTGGGACTTCCAGCCTCTGGAGCTGGGAGACGTGAATGTGCCCTGATAAAGCACCCAGTCTATAGGATTTGTTATGGCGGAGCCCGATCTGACTGAGACAGCGCGCACACAGAATGACCGGGGAGTGAGGGTTAACATGCAGGTTCTAGGGCCCCAGGACTGAGCATTTAACCAGCTTCCTGGGGACTCAGGAGCAAGGCAGCCCCTGGGGACGCAGCCTCAGGGTCCTGGAGAGGAGCAGACACCAGAACCAAAGCAGAGCAGCGTCCAAGCCCACTGCATGCGGAGCCTGTGAGCCTGGGGCGGCTCCACTCCCAGAATCAGGGTCCCCAGTGCATGGGGACTCAGCTCCAAGGGAGAATGCAACCAGTCCCAGCATGCAAGGGCAGCGAGATTTTTGGGAGCAAAGATGGCGTCGCCTTACACCTATACCCTGGGCAGGGGACTTGCCTAGGGAGTGGCCAGTGTGTTGCCTGGTGGATGTGCTCAAGCTCCTGTGGAGTATGGGCTTGCTCACCAGTGGGGGGACACAGGGTCACAGAGGCACCGCAGGATGGAGAGAGGCAGGACTGGGACTGAATCCACAAACTCTCCCAGATGCTGGCATTGCTGCATCAGTCACCACAGTCCACATGGCCCTGGGCTGCTGGGCTCGTGGTGCACTCAGAGCCATCACTGGAGCCCATAGCCTTGGGGAGCGCTGTCCAAGGTGGCCTAGGTCTGATAATGATAGCAATAGGGACAGTAATCATAACTGCTGTCATGTCATGTGTCACAGCATGTGTTGGGCACTGTGCTGCGTGTGTCATAAGTGAGCTCAAGTCACCTCTTCACCATCCTCTGAATGAAGCATCGTCGTCCCTTTTTCTAGAAGGGATTGAAGGCAAAGCTGCAAATACCTGCTCAGCATGGACCCCAGTGCGGGGCCCGAGACCATCCCCTGTGCAGGCTCCACCACCGCTGTGCCAGCTGGACCTCGGCAGAACAGTGGGCGTGTGCCAGGTTCCTGCAGCCCCCACTCCCAGCCCATGTGCTGTGCCCCTAGCCTTCGCCATTCAGGTCAAGGGGAGGCACTGGGACACGCTCAAATCCTAAACCCAATCCATGGCTCATGTCGGACTGGGAACCCTCTGTGACCTGGGTGTTCTGTAAACATTGTCATGAAAATGATTGAAAGTAATGATTAGCTGGACTCACGGGACAGTGAGGGGCAGGTGACATGAGGCCCCTGAGAGTCTGTCCTGAGTGGCAGCCAGATTAGTGTTGCTGAAAATGTGCCCTTCCATAGCTCAACCCATCGCCTTCAAGCTCCCCTGAACAGCGTGACCTCCCGTCCATACAGCAGCATCTTTACGGGTGAGCTGTGAGACGAGCTCCGGTGCCCCAAGGACACTCACATGAAGAAGCAGGAAAGCGCTTCCGTGTCCGGACTCTGGGGAAGGTGCCTCCGGGCCAGGGGCTTGTAGCGCTGCCAGAGTCGGAAGTTCTCATACACGCTCTTGGGGTTGCAGGAGTCGTCCGGCGGGGCCTTGGCCTGGGAGGGAGCCAGGCTGCCCTCTCCATGAGCCCCTTGTGGCCATGGCCCAGCGTTCCCTGGAGCCATCATGGGGGCCAGCTGAGGAGCCAGTGGTGCTAGAGGAGGAAGGCCCTGGGACCAGCCTCCCTCGCAGGCCTGGGTGCCCCCAAAAACCTGGGCAGCCACAGCGGGCACCACAGGGGCAGCTGCCATGGGTCGGGGAGGTGGACATGCGACGCCCTTGAAGAGGGTGCCTGAAGCCTGCCAGACGAGGGGGGCCTGAGTTAGGACCAAGGTCGGTGCCTGAGGAGCCTTCACAGGCCCCACTTCTGTCCTCATCTGGACAAGGACGTTGGAAGCCCCAGCCAAATTTGGGCCTTGGCCACCCTGTCCTGCCACCAGAGGGGTCCTGGGGAAGGCAGACAGCACCAGAGGGCCACCTGGAGGAACCATTGCAGTCACAAGCGGTGGCCCGTGTGCTGGGCCGGGAGCAGGTGTGGCAAAGGGCAGAGCCGTGAACACTGGCATGGAGGTGCCAGGGTTCTTGGTCACACCCGATTCCAGCGCTGGGCATGCTGTGGAGACAAAGGAAAGAGGTGAATGAGCTGGGGTCTGCAGGTCTGCAGTAGTCACTGGGAATCAGAGGGGTGTTCCAACACCTCAGGGTGTGTGACAGGGAAACTGCAGCTTGCAAGTGTCCCTGTGTGTGCATCGGATGCTCTGTTCCTCCACGGCAGGGTCGCCTCACTAGAGAGCCTGGCCCTGGCTCCTCTAGACTCCCTGACCCCTGTCTGCCAAGAAGCAACAGCCAAGCCTTCGCTGCCTCTAAGGGTCTCCCTCGGGCGTCCCTGGAAGACCTGCCAGCCTTACAGGCATCTCCCAAGCCATGGGTCAGGGATGAATCTCTCACTGGCTTGGAGGCCCTCAGCATGCTCAGCAGCAGGTGAGGGGCCTCCCCCCAGGGCAGTGCTCTGCACTCAGAAGGCCTCCAGGAAGCCAGAAGGTTCCTAATATTATGGCCCCATCTCCTCTTCAGTCTTCCTTTTCCTGGAGCTCTTGTACACCCCTTTCTTTCCTAGCTCAGCACAACAAAAGGAAGACACTGGAAAGACGGGGCGTGGTGGTTCATGCCTGTAATCCCAGCACTTTGGGGGGCTGAAGCAGGTGGTCACCTGACATCAGGAGTTCAAGACCAGCTTGGTCAACATGGTGAAACCATGTCTCTACTAAAATACAAAACTCAGCTGAGTGTGGTGGCGCACGCCTGTAATCCCAGCTACTCTGGAGGCTGAGGCAGGAGTATTGCTTGAACCCAGGAAGCAGAGACAGCAGTGAGCCAAGATTGCACCACTGCATTCTAGCCTGGGTGACAGAGGAAGGATCTGTCTCAAAATAGAAACAATGAAAGAAAACCACTGGATGGAAATCTCTCCCAAGCCAGCACCCTGTGAACCCTGAAGGTAACCCAGACACGTCACGCCCAGCCTGCAAGTGATTGTCCTGGCACCACGCACAGCAAGTGCTACACAGGGGTCAGATTCGGGCCACCCTTTCCTCAGTGCTCAGTGGTCCTGGCTGCCACTCAGGAAGCTCTGTTCCCAGGGAGCAGGTCTGAGAAGCAGTGGTGGAGTTCCCTGAGATACTATCATTGCGCAGCCAGCAACAGCGGCACACGATTAGAGCACAGTCAGCCAGCGGTGAGCAGTGGGGCTGTCAGGGGAGGTGTCCGGGGATTTTCACAGCTTCTGGTCATGTTACAGTAGTTCCTGGGACAATGAACCCACCTCTGGTCCTTTTCCTTTGAGCTCCCAGTAACTGAATATAGTGACCAACCAAGGACCAGAGGTTCTTGGGCCACAGGCCAGGTGGGGCAAAGTTGTCTGGAGCTCATCCCTGTTCACTAGGACCTCATGCAGTCCCCAGTCAAGGGGGATAGGGATACAGCACGTGCACCTCATCAGTCAGGACACACATCCTGACTTGAATAATAATAGTAATAATAAGAGGACTGTCTTCCTATTTGTGCGCTACTCTCCTTCCTCTACTGAAAAGGAAACCATCTTTCCAGACCATTCCAATGAGAAACAGCAAGAGTCCACACCTGTCCCCTGTTCATGAGGTAGTGGACATGGAATAGAAACAAATCCTTCATCTCCACAGTAATACAAAGTGCAGAGGACAGGCCATGAGCTAGCAGACAAGAGGAAGTGGGTCTGAAGACCTGAGCTTCCACAAAACGACGAACAATTCAGAACAACCTGGGAAGCCCAGGCCGTGTTGCCTGAACTTCCCCAACTGCCCCCACCCCTGTTAAATCAGAGCCAACAGCCACCTGAACTGACAGAGAAGCCACCTCTGGGGAGGGAGCTGAGAGGCTGCGGCAGTTACAGCACCCCCAGCCTCGCCCACCCAGAGGCTGTCACTGCAGGCTCTGTCACAG